CTCGGGTGTATGGGGTCCCATGGGCTGGCTCGACAGGTCCTAAGGCGTCAATCGGACTTTAAGGGTGGGATCACTGAGGTTCCAAATAGACGAATATGGTCGTATAGAAATAGTACCTATTGGTATCTTATATAGGCATATACGTCTTGAATATGATATATTAGAGAGTTATAAAGTGAATCGATCCTTAAATAAAGATAGCTCCACTTCATAAAATCATTTTATAACATCCTCAACCTACGTTGAATTAAGCAGCATTATTGTATCGGCATGTATGTATGTATGTATGTATGTATGTATTACCTTCATGGACAATCCACGCGGGGCGTGGCGATTACAGTCCAGAGTCTGAGTCGGGCACAAACAAAAACATGCGGGGACAAGAAACACAGGCATACAAATTCAATCGCTGGACATTCGCTCTCTCTATATACAAACGGACGATTCAAGACAGCACACCGCACACGGATGTCGCACCTCCTTCCCCTGACACGGGTCATCGTCGGGCGGTCGTCATCGCCGGACAGACTGCAGCCTTGGCCGCACGGGCGAATTGGGTGGGGCGCTGTTCGATGACACCGGGAGGCAGACTGTTGAGTAGCGCCGCGGCCCGGTAGGCGAACCGTCGCTTGCCAGTCTCGAGCCGCGAGCGTGGAAGGTGGAAAAGGTGGTCCTGTCGTGTGGATCTCTCTCGCGCGTCACTGTTATTCGTGAAGATGGCAGCTAGTGCTTCGGGCTCGCCGTTGCTTATTATTTTCTGCGCAGTTACCATGGTTTTAACATCGGCCATAGCTTTCGGAGGCATCCATCCGAGTGAATCGCGGAGGCCAGAGACGTGATCGAATTTCCGGCGGCCGAATATGACCCGTGCTGCAAAGTTTAGAATTTTTTGGAGTCGGTCGAAGTTTTTCTGGGAGCCGTTACCATATACAGTGAGGCAGTACTGGACGCGCGAGATGACGAGTGCAGTCACGATCGTTTTGAGGATACCGTCTGGGAGGCAGTGTCGTGCGTGGGAGAGGCCGATCAGTACGCCCGTGCAGCGACGGCTCAGCTCGGCCACGTGTGCTTCCCAGGTGAGTGCGCCGTCGAATACAACACCTAGGTTTCCCACCTGCGCGCACGGCAGGAGCTCAGCGTCACGGAAAGAGATTTTGAAGCGAGGCAGGTTACGTAGGTTTTGTCGGCTACCGAATACCATCAGTTGAGTTTTAGAAGCGTTGACTTTCAGGGCGTGTGCGCAGAACCATGCGTTAAGTGACTCTAGCGATGCCTCCATGCGCGAGATGAGACTCCTGATGTCGTTGCGTGGGCCGCTCACCAATATCTGGGTGTCGTCTGCGTACTGATAAGCGGTGGCGTCTCCGGCAAATAGTGAGAGGTCGTTGGAGAATATAGTTTTATTTTATTTATTTTATTTATTATTTTATTTCTATTTTATTTCATGGCATTATTTTATTCAGGTGCCACCGGTGCCATTCAAGTATCACGGTAGTTAGTGCCTTGGTCACCTCCCGCCAGTCGTGCGCTGTGCTCTTTCAGAGACCGTACCGACTGGAATCTAGCGACCGCTGACCGTTTTGAAGACTGTACGGCGTACGCGGCCGGCAGCGGGCGGTCCCATCCTCGCCTCCGGCTAGAGAGGGGTGTTGTGTTCGGGTATAGGGGGTGTGTACTTGGACCGCCTCTGCGGCCCCACCTCTGTGTGCCTGGGAGCGGGGAGTGTCTAAAAAGCAGACGAGATTAGCAGACGAGCCCATGCTCAGTAACTACTGGACCGATTTTGATAATTCTTTCACCATTCAATAGCAGGGAAGTTACATAGGTGCCGTTTTTCGTTTTTTGGCGATTGGTTCACTCTGACTGGACCAATCGGACCAAAATGGTCCAGAACCATACACCCCCTTAAAAGCAGACGAGCCCATCCTCCGAAACTACTGGACCGATTTCGATGAAACCTTCACCATTAGACGCGCCGTGGTCTGAAACGGTGCCGTTTTGGATAATTTTTTGATTGGTTCACCCTAAGTGGTCCAAATCGGTCCAAAACCGCTAAAATCTGTTGCAGACGAGCCCATGCTCCGAAACTACTGGACCGATTTCGATGAAACCTTCAACATTGGACGCGCCGTGGTCTGAAACGGTGCCGTTTTGGATAATTTTTTGATCGGTTCACCCTAAGTGGTCCAAATCGGTCCAAAACCGCTAAAATCTGTTGCAGACGAGCCCATGCTCCGAAACTACTGGACCGATTTCGATGAAACCTTCAACATTGGACGCGCCGTGGTCTGAAACGGTGCCGTTTTTGATAATTTTTTGATTGGTCCACCCTAAGTGGTCCAAATCGGTCCAAAACCCCTAAAATCTGTTGCAGACGAGCCCATGCTCCGAAACTACTGGACCGATTTCGATGAAACCTTCACCATTAGACGCGCCGTGGTCTGAGACGGTGCCGTTTTTGATGATTTTTTTATTGGTTCACCCTAAATGGTCCAAATCGGTCCAAAACCCCTAAAATCTGTTGCAGACGAGCCCATGCTCCGAAACTACTGGACCGATTTCGATGAAACCTTCACCATTAGACGTGCCGTGGTCTAAAACGGTGCCGTTTTTGATAATTTTTTGATTGGTCCACTCTAAGTGGTCCAAATCGGTCCAAAACCCCTAAAATCTGTTGCAGACGAGCCCATGCTCCGAAACTACTGGACCGATTTCGATGAAACCTTTACCATTAGACGCGCCGTGGTCTGAAACGGTGCCGTTTTTGATAATTTTTTGATTGGTCCACCCTAAGTGGTCCAAATCGGTCCAAAACCCCTAAAATCTGTTGCAGACGAGCCCATGCTCCGAAACTACTGGACCGATTTCGATGAAACCTTCAACATTAGACGCGCCGTGGTCTGAAACGGTGCCGTTTTTTGATAATTTTTTGATTGGTCCACCCTAAGTGGTCCAAATCGGTCCAAAACCCCTAAAATCTGTTGCAGACGAGCCCATGCTCCGAAACTACTGGACCGATTTCGATGAAACCTTCACCATTAGACGCGCCGTGGTCTGAAACGGTGCCGTTTTTGATAATTTTTTGATTGGTTCACCCTAAGTGGTCCAAATCGGTCCAAAACCCCTAAAATCTGTTGCAGACTGAGACGAGCCCATGCTCCGAAACTACTGGGCCGATTTGGATGAAACCTTCACCATTCGACGCGCTGTGGTCTGTAACGGTGCCGCTTTTGGATAATTTTTTGATGGGTCCACCCTAAGTGGTCCAAATCGGTTCAAGTACAGCCCAAAAATACGTTTTCATGTAGTCAACCGATGAGCTGGTTTCCGCAGCGCGGAGGTGCCCCAGGCCCAATTAGCATGCATTTTGCTCTAGTTTGGAAAGCAAAATGCATGACAATGGGTTGGGGGCACCTCTGTGCTGCAGAAATCTATCCGGACTCTCGCAAAGTACAAACGGGTTTTAGGCATTTTGGACCGATTTGGACCACTTAGGGTGGACCAATCAAAAAATTATCCAAAACGGCACCGTTTCAGACCACGGCGCGTCTAATGGTAAAGGTTTCATCGAAATCGGTCCAGTAGTTTCGGAGCATGGGCTCGTCTGCAACAGATTTTAGGGGTTTTGGACCGATTTGGACCACTTAGGGTGGACCAATCAAAAAATTATCAATAACGGCACCGTTTCAGACCACGGCGCGTTTAATGGTGAAGGTTTCATCGAAATCGGTCCAGTAGTTTCGGAGCATGGGATCGTCTGCAACAGATTTTAGGGGTTTTGGACCGATTTGGACCACTTAGAGTGGACCAATCAAAAAATTATCAAAAACGGCACCGTTTCAGACCACGGCACGTCTAATGGTGAAGGTTTCATCGAAATCGGTCCAGTAGTTTCGGAGCATGGGCTCGTCTGCAACAGATTTTAGGGGTTTTGGACCGATTTGGACCATTTAGGGTGGACCAATAAAAAAATTATCAAAAACGGCACCGTTTCAGACCACGGCGCGTCTAATGGTAAAGGTTTCATCGAAATCGGTCCAGTAGTTTCGGAGCATGGGCTCGTCTGCAACAGATTTTAGGGGTTTTGGACCGATTTGGACCACTTAGGGTGGACCAATCAAAAAATTATCAAAAACGGCACCGTTTCAGACCACGGCGCGTCTAATGGTGAAGGTTTCATCGAAATCGGTCCAGTAGTTTCGGAGCATGGGCTCGTCTGCAACAGATTTTAGCGGTTTTGGACCGATTTGGACCACTTAGGGTGAACCAATCAAAAAATTATCAAAAACGGCACCATTTCAAACCACGGCGCGTCTAATGGTGAAGGTTTCATCGAAATCGGTCCAGTAGTTTCGGAGCATGGGCTCGTCTGCAACAGATTTTAGCGGTTTTGGACCGATTTGGACCACTTAGGGTGAACCAATAAAAAAATGATCAAAAACGGCACCGTTTCAGACCACGGCGCGTCTAATGGTGAAGGTTTCATCGAAATCGGTCCAGTAGTTTCGGAGCATGGGCTCGTCTGCTTTTAAGGGGGTGTATGGTTCTGGACCATTTTGGTCCGATTGGTCCAGTCAGAGTGAACCAATCGCCAAAAAACGAAAAACGGCACCTATATAACTTCCCTGCTATTGAATGGTGAAAGAATTATCAAAATCGGTCCAGTAGTTACTGAGCATGGGCTCGTCTGCTAATCTCGTCTGCTTTTTAGACACTCCCTGAGCCCCTGCCGACGCTCAGCTGATCGTGCGCGCCAAGCGGCATGACTGGCGCGGGCGACTAGGCGTGGCGCTCGCCATACTTGTTTAGTTTTTGGAGGACTCTCTCGGCCCATTCGCACCGGCTGTAAATAAATCGCGTTTCTCTTAAGCTCTCTCTCACTCGAACCGTGAATCACGAACATAACATGGCGCGGTCAGTAGATGGTTCCGTGCGTGCGCGCAGTGATCAGTGTATCAGTGTATCAGTGATTAGTTTATAGCGCGCCGTGATCTGTGACGATGAGTGACATTGAGAAACTGACGCAGCTGCTCCTGCAGCAGGCGGAGTTGTCGGCGCAGCGGGAGCGAGACTCAGCGCAGCGCGAGGAGCGGCTCACTCAGATGGTGGAGCGACTGGTCGCCGACCGACAGCCACCCGCTACCGTCGCTGCCGACGATGCCTCGGCGGCGACAGCCGCCCGGACGTCGGCTGCCGCCCCGCCCGTGCGCCTGCCTGCTGCTGCAACGCCGGCGCCTCAGCTGTCGTCCTCCACATCCCTGCGCGACTTCGCTGTATGGAGGGAGAAGCTGGACGGGTACATGCTTCTGACCGGCGCGTCCGCGCTGCCCGTCACTGCCCAGAGAGCTGCCCTTCTCAGTCTTCTCGACGAAGATTGGCACCGGGTGCTGCGATATGGACTGACGATAGCGGACGACTCTCCCCTCTCCGCGGTGGTAGACGCAATGGAGAGTCATCTCCGTAAGCAGCGCAGTGTCCTGGTCGACCGCCGTGCGTTCTACGCCCGTGTCCAGGAGCAGGGCGAGAATTTTGAGGAGTTTCTGTGCGAAGTGAAGGAGCTCGCGGCCTTTTGCGACTTTTGCACACACTGTTACGACTCACGCCTGCGTGACAAGATTGTGTGTGGCCTGCGGGACGAGGAGACGGTGAAGCGTCTGTTGGAGGATCCGGGGCTGGACCTCAAGAAGACGGTGGACATCTGCCGTGCGTCAGAGAACGCCCGGGCTACCTGCTCCGACCTCCACTCACCGACGGCGTCAGTGAGCCGTCTGTCGGCATACCGCCGTTCAAGGTCGCGCGATGCGCGCCCCGCGGCCCAACCCGGCGGGCGTTCCGCGGGTACGGCCGGCGTGCGCCGCCCCCAGGCGCGCCCCGCGGCCCAACCTGGCGGGCGCTCCGCGGGCGCGGCCGGCGCGCGCTGCTGCCGCTGCGGGCGGGCCGCCCACGCAGACCCGGCGGCGTGCCGCGCTACTAGCGCCATCTGCAACTCGTGTGGCCAGCGCGGCCACTTTGCAGTGGTGTGCGCCCAGGTGGCGCGCGAGAGCGCCGCTGCCCCCGCCGAGCGCGCAGCACCGGAGCGCGCGCGGCCCGCGGTGGGGCAGCCGTCAGAGCCGCGCATCTGCCGTGTCATCAGAGACGTCTACGTGAACGGCATATCGACGCGGCCGACTCCCACTGTGACTGTCCGACTGTCTACGCCGGCTGGTGTGTTCACCGTGTCGGCCCGGGCCGACTCCGGCGCCGAGGCGACAGTCATCGGCGAAGACAGCCTGTCTTCCATCTGCGTGGAACCAGCGCAGTTGGAGCCCTGCATCGGCCAGCCATTTTCAGCAGTAGGGAAACAGCCGCTCACCTGTGTCGGGTCGTTCCGGGCTACTCTGGAGCTGGGCGACCGATCGACCACCGCTGCCGTGTTCGTCATCAGGGAGCTGACTGGCCTGCTACTCAGCTGGTTCGACTGTGTGGCGCTGGGGATTCTGCCGAGGGATTTTCCGGCACAGATCCGGTCCGTCGAGGACGCACCGCGCCCTGCTGATGACGTCACGGCCTCTGTTGACGTCACATCCGCTGGTGACGTCACACCCTCTAATGACGTCACACCGTCTGCACCGCCGGCCGCTGCCGGCTCCGCTCGTAGCGCCAGCGGCCGCTCGGCCCCGTATGAGGCGCCGCGTGACAGGCCCTGTCCGGCCACCGGGACCGAGACGGGCGCGCCGGCGCCGCCGGCCGATGGACCCGGCCCGGCCGCCGGCCTCAGCGGTCCGCTGCCGGCCTGGGACAGCGACTCAGACCCACCGGAGGCGGTCCGTGCAGCTCATGCAGCCGCTCTGATGGAGTGTTTCCCGCGTGTGTTCGGGCAAGATTCGACTCTTCGAGTCATGGACGGCGGTCCGATGACGATCGAACTCCGGCCCGACGCGTGTCCGACGTCGGTCACCGCTGCGAGACCGATCCCCTTCGCCTGGCGTGCCGAGGTAAAGGCGCAGCTGGACGACCTGCTGGACCGCGGCGTCATCGTCCCTGTGGACTACCCGACGGAATGGTGCCATCCCATTTCGTGCGTGCCGAAGAACCCGTCCGGGTTTCGACTCTGCGTGGACCTGACGGGACTCAACCGGTACGTGAATCGACCCACGTACCCCTGCCGGTCTCCTCACGATGCTGTGACGAGTCTGCCCGCCGGGCACCGGTGGATGTCGACTCTGGACGCCAAGATGGGCTACTTCCAGGTGCCGCTCGCTGAGTCAAGTCAGGACCTCACCTGCTTCATCACGCCGTGGGGCAGGTTCAAGTTCGTCCGCTGTCCGATGGGATGCAGTGCGTCTGGAGACGAGTACAACCGGCGCGGCGATGCCGCGCTCGGCGACATCCCAAACTGTGTCAAGATTGTCGACGACATCCTGGCCGTGGCACAGACGTACCGGCAGCACCTGCAGCAGGTGATCGAAATCCTCCGGCGCTGTGACGACCGAGGAATCACGCTGAACCCGCTGAAGTTCAAGTTCGCCCAGAATGAGGTCAAATTCTGCGGCTACAAGATCACCCCGGCCGGCTACACCACCGACCATGAAAAGGCGCGCGCCATCGCTGATTTCCCGAGACCGGAGAACGTCACCGACCTGCGGTCCTTCATGGGTCTGGTGAATCAGCTGAGCGGCCTCACACCGGAGCTGGCTGACTCGACTCAGGCCTTCAGAGACCTCCTCAAGTCGCGCCGGGTCTGGCGCTGGACTGAGCAGCACGAGGCAGCGTTTCTGCACACCAAGATTGTGCTGTCGTCACCGCCGGTGATGGCATTCTTCGACCCCCAGCTGCCGACCGTGCTACAGACGGACGCTGCTAAAACCCGAGGACTGGGTTTTGCACTGCTCCAGAGGCACGGCGAGGACTGGCGTGTGGTCCAGTATGGTTCACGGTTCCTGACCGATACCGAGAGCCGATATGCTGTAATCGAGCTGGAGCTGGCTGCTGTACTCTGGGCCTGCAAGAAGTGCCATGTCTACCTGGCTGGCATGCCCCACTTCGACCTGGTGGTCGACCACCGACCGCTGGTGACCATCCTAAACTACAAGCAGCTCAACTCGATCGACAACCCGCGTCTGCAGCGGATGAAAGAGAAGTTGTTGGCCTACAGCTTCACCACCAGCTGGCAGAAGGGATCGAGTCACGTGATCCCAGACGCGCTCTCGCGAGCGCCCACCAGCGACCCCGCCGCTGATGACGACGGAGCGGTGGACACCGAGGACGACCCGCTGCACGCCAGCGTCATTGCCGCGCTGCAGGCCTCCGCTCGATCGGAGGAGGGCGCCCAGCTGGCTCCGCTGGTCGACTCCACACTGGAGAGAGTCCGCGCCGCCGCGGAGCGCGACACCGAGTACCAGACTCTCAGCGAGCTGATCCTGGCCGGATTCCCAGAGAACCGGCACGAGACGCCCCCTGCAGTACGAGCGTACTGGGGCGTGCGCCATCAGCTGGCCATCGACGACGGACTGGTGGTCTACGGCGCTCGACTGGTCATCCCGTCCGCCCTCCGACGCGGTGTGCTGGAGAAACTCCATGAGTCACACCAGGGCGTTGATAGGACCAAGCGCCGTGCTCGGCTCAGTGTGTACTGGCCGGGCATCGACAAGCAGATTGCTGACACTGTCGCCGCCTGCGCTCAGTGCCGTCAGCGCCTGCCCAGCCACGCCCGGGAGCCGATGTGGCAGGAGGACGGCGCACCGACACGCGTCTTCGAGTCGGTCTCGGCCGACTACTTCTCCGCTGGAGGACACACGTACCTGGTGTACGTGGACCGGCTGTCCGGGTGGCCGTATGTCACAGTGTGTCCCCGCACGGCCTCGGCGGACCATCTGACGCGGCAGCTCCGACTGATGTTCTCGCAGACGGGCGTCCCGACCGTGTTCCGGTCAGACGGCGGACCCCAGTTTGCATCAGGCACGCTCCGCCGGTTCCTCCAGCGCTGGGACGTACGACATGAGATGTCGTCACCGCACTACCCGCGCGCTAACGGGCACGCGGAGGCCTGCGTGAAGACAGCGAAGAAGCTGGTGCTGGCTGCGTCCTCATCGGGCCGGCTCGACCAGGACCAACTGGACCGAAGTCTGCTCGAACTCCGTAACACGCCCCGAGCAGACGGACGGTCGCCGGCACAGGTGCTGTTTGGTCACCCGCTTCGCTCTGGTGTTCCCACGCACCACCGCGCCTTCGCTCCTGAGTGGCAGCGGGCGGCCGATGTCTGCGAGGAAAAGGCTGCCGAGCTCCAGGAGCAGGCCGTCAGGTGCTACAACAAGAGCACGCGCCGGCTGTCACCGCTCAAGATCGGCAGCCGGGTCGACCTTCAAGACCCCGCCACCGGCCGATGGAACCGGATCGGAGTGATCGTGGGCGTCGGTCAGCGGCGCACGTACCTCGTCAAGACGGCCAGTGGCAGGGTCCTGTGGCGTAACCGCCGCTACCTGCGCCCATACCGGCCGCTTCTGACGGAACCCACCCCGCCTGTGGCTCCGTCCGCCCCGCGCCCGCCCGCTGCGGGTGCGCCTCAGCCGCCGCCGCCGCCACCGCCGCCAGCGCGCACCGCGGTCGCCGCCGAGAGGGCGGTCCGACCCGCCGCTAGTGCGCCGGCCGTGTGCCGCTCGTCGCCGGTGCGGTCACCCCAGGTGGAGACGGCCGCCGCCGCTCTCCCGCGTCGTTCTCGACGGCAGCGCCGTGCTCCTGGTCGGCTCCGAGTTCAATGGGGTGCGACCTCGTATGCGGAGTGACTGTGAGACAACGTCGTGCATTGTTGTGTTTTTGTGTGTTTTTGACGACTGTTGTCTCGAGGGGGGATGTTGTGTTCGGGTATAGGGGGTGTGTACTTGGACCGCCTCTGCGGCCCCACCTCTGTGTGCCTGGGAGCGCCCCTGCCGACGCTCAGCTGATCGTGCGCGCCAAGCGGCATGACTGGCGCGGGCGACTAGGCGTGGCGCTCGCCATACTTGTTTAGTTTTTGGAGGACTCTCTCGGCCCATTCGCACCGGCTGTAAATAAATCGCGTTTCTCTTAAGCTCTCTCTCACTCGAACCGTGAATCACGAACATAACAAGGGGGAGACCGCGCGTCCCCCGTCCCGTTGTGCCGGCTCGCAGAGTGCGGACGGGTGTGTTGAGTGTGTTGTGTCCAGTGTCGTCTGGCGTCTCCTCTTTCGATCCGACCATGTACGTTTCCGCCAGTTTCTGCTGTGTGACAATCAGTGCATTTATCCTAGTTATTTATCCTAGTTATTTATCCTAGCAGTGATAAGTTTAAAAAACTGGCGCTGAAACGTTCTCTTCAAAACGGTGGCGATCACCGTCGTCACTCACTTGCCTGCGGCAAAGAGAAAAAGTGCTGCCGGTGGCGTCATGTAGCGTCATGGCTTGAAACAGGGCCCGGTAAGTATAAAAGAATTGATTCATGGTAGTAGGACGTATAGGTACATGCGTGATGCTAAATGAACTTACATAAATATCTATTATCTGAGCTGAAAATGACTGAACTGAATTTACTCAAAGGCCCAATTTATTACCGTTGTTACATAGGAATCTCCGCTTTGTTACAGGAGTGCGAGGCTCGACAGGCGACTCAACCCCCACGGCCCTGACTCAACCGCTCAAGATGTGAAGATGGCGGAGACTGAGCGGCGGCCGAGGTTGTGTGGCGTGATATGTGAAGTGTAACTGACTCGAAAAAAGTGAAGAGCTGTGCATATATCATAGAAATACATTTTCCCCGAATATTGACTGTCAAAGTGACGCTGGAATATTTTAGGTAATTACGGGAAATGGGATTTCGTACACGTATAGGCAGGGGCGTCGCCACGGATTTTTGAGTGGGGGGGTCGGGTTTCTAGTCTTCACCCGATGGGTAGGGGTGTTTTTTTTTTTTTTGCCACACTTCCCAGTTTTGTGCGTGCGTATGTGTGTGTGCGCGCGTGTAACAAATCGGCGCGCAGCGCCGCAAAATTTGGTCTAACCTATTAGGTAGGTATACCTACCTACATCACTTACGTAAAAATTATCACTGGTCACTTAAGGTCAGGTCGCCATGTCAAGTTTAGTTATACGGTATACCTCTATCAAACTTTCCCCTCTCGCCATTCTTGTAGCTTTTCTCCCATAACTTCGAAATTTGGTACACTAGGTATACCTAATGTATGGGGTTATACGTGTCAGCAATTCATGGTTCTGAGGATTTACATCTATGATCTGGACTCTGGAGGCAGGTCAAATACGTGACCTTATCATGAGAAAATAATGAGAAATTAGAAAAAGCACGAATGCCTCCTGCTTTGAAAAAGTTCGTCAGAAACGCAAAATATCTTTGGAGCCATGACAAATCAGCTCATCATTGCCAGGGACAGGGTGCAACTTATGGCGAGTGATGACTCGAAAGGTCATTAGTGGAAATGTCCATCGGTGGCCACCAGCATTTTTTTCTACAACTTTTGACGAAGATGCGGTAGAGCGATGACAGCACCTGGAAGGTGTTCACTGTTCAGCTCAACAACACGGAGTACGGACCTATTCATATGTAGCAGGACGTCCTTTTTCGATCAGGACATAACGTTGACCTGAGGTCGTTTTAACGTTAATTCTGAATGGTCAAATTTTAACTCATGTGACGCGTCTCAAAGAGATAAACACGGTGGTGACAAGACAACATATGTAAATACCATACAAATTCACGGAATCTAAAGTTATTGCAAAGCAAATATTTCGGCAGAATCTGTCCAGTTCGCTGTTTGCCTTCTATGGGCAAAACATAGACCTGAGATGAAATCTGACGCGAAGCTAGCGAAAGAGCGTTGAAAGAGCTATCGAGTATCGAATATGTTTTCTGCTTCACTGTAGCCCTTCTATTGGTGGGTTCCCTGTCGCTAACGTATAACGTATACTAAACTAACGCTGAGGTATGCTTTCGACCCCTGATCGATCTAGAGGTTTGCGGAAAAAGAGCATGCTGCCCGTGACGAGAAAAAGCCCATTTACAAGGTTTCGGGTCATCTCAGGACAGGTCATTGCCAATAAGTAGGGAAACTCGGGACCTGCTAGAACTTTGCGAGTGTAATTTGTGATGGTTTTTCGAGGTTCTGATTACGAATGTTATCTTAGTTTTGAACGAAGATGATGACTCCATGCATTTGGGGTAGATCAGGTCAGGTCAGATCAACCAGTACCTAATAGTGGATGACCACCACCGATTGCTTCCTAACATGTTATTACGGAGCGAGCGAAGCGAGCGGAGTCTCATACTGAATTAAGGGAAAATCCTGAGTATGAGCGGCCGGCCGGCCGGCCGGCCGGCCGTGGGGACGCTCTTCAAAAGCTAATATCTTAGGAACGGGACATCCGATTGACAAGCGGTCTTCTTTACTGAATGTCACTTGGACGTAAAAGTTCTGTGGTGTGATGGCCACCATGCGTTCTTGCCAACCACCGCACGTGGCGCGTGGTAAAGTTGGACATTTTTTTAAGAACCCCCAAAATTGCAACCTCAATAACGGCACAGCGGTTGGGCCGATTGAATTGAAACTCGGTACACAGTTAGGTCTCCATCAGATAATTCATCTGCATGTGTTAAGGTTGGGGTGCTACAGCACGTGCGCACGTGCAGGGGGCGCTCCCAGATCTCGAGAACGGCTGGGCCGATTGCGCTCAAATTTGGTACACGGTTGGGGACCAGTTAGTAGGGTGCCGTGCAAAAGTCAGTTTGGACCCCGCTTGCACGTGCGCACGTGCAGTGTGCCGCTTCCAGATCTCGAGAACGGCTTGGCCGATTGCGCTGAAATTTGGCACATCGCTAAAGACCGGTTAGTAGGGTGCAGTGCACAAGTTAGTTGGAGGTACCCCCTCGCAATTTCGCACGTGCGAGGCCCATCGTCTCGCTCGCTCCGTTGGTCGCCCAAAAGGCGTTTTACTGGTACATATGTATAAGCAACACAACTACTTCTTAAATGTTCAGATGGGCGCTAAGTTCAAAATCAGCTCCAAAAACTATCCTATACCTAAATAAAAGCATGTTATGAAAAAGTGAACCAAGGTCATCTTTATTTGAATCAGGGATACCGATTTATTTTTAACCCTCGTCGGCCGAGGGGGGGCGGGTGCCGCCCCCCCCCATAGGGTTTTTTTTTCGCGCGATAGCTCCGAACACGCTGGCGATAGAGAGCTGAAACTTGGCATACCTGACCTTTGATCCAAGCCGGATCTTTTGACACCAACTGCATTTTTGGGTCAGGTCAGGTCACTGACCTATGACGTCATAAGTGAACCTCTGCACGGTCTTCAGATGTCGCAACTCCGCAACGCCCTCACTGCCAGAGGAGATGTCACAGGGAAATGAAACTTGCAGGATCTAGTATCCATTATGAGTCCCACAACTTGTATATCTCGGATTTTTCCTAAAGGTCATATGAGGTCAGGTCATTTTCGTGACCTCACCATTATAAGTCAATGGGGGGAAAATGAAAACTGCTATTCTGGCGCCGGGAACGATCTCCAACTATCTCAAGCACACAGAATCGTGATTTGATGCACTCCTTGCAAGGTTAGATGCGTCACTTTTGCAATGTTGACATTGCGTGACGTCATTTATGACGTCATCAAGGTCATATTAGTTTTTCGTCAATAACTCTTGATCAAAGTGAGCTAGCGAGTCCGGAAAGCCACCATTGGACTCAGGAAGACCTGTCAAATCGAATGATATGCGACATGACCTCTTTCGACCAGCTTCGTGACCTGGGCGTGCTGACCTGACCTTGACCTGAGGTCAACACCCCAAGTTGACCTGACCCGGACAAAAAGTATATCATTCGACGCGCCTGAGCGAGGCAAACACGATGCTGCCAAAATCGGCGCTCTGCGGCCGTTTTTTGCGAAGTTATTCGCCAAAAACTGAACCGTACCTTGGGGCACTTGACCTGACCCCAGAGGTCACCGGTTGACCTAGGACCTTAAAATCGGGTACCAATCTCTGCGTCTCGTAACGGCGCACACGCTCGTTTTTTCCGCGACGCGCTAGCTCCACCAGGGGCGAAACGGCGAGGGGGGGTCGTACCCGCCCCCCCCCCCCTCGGCCGGCGCGTATGTAGAAAACCAATAGGCGGCGAGGGTTAAGTAGATGATTAACTCGAGCGCACCGGAAGTTTCGTTGCAATCGGCTCCTTTTTGCGCGACTTCTTTGCGAAAGCCCGAGACGGTCTCACCTGACTCCCTTTCCCCTACATGTGCAGTGTGCACTGTACAGCTCGTTGTGACGGTAGCCATGGGGCTGAGGCTAGTTTGTAGTTTTGTAGTTTGGTACTGATCCGACGAATCGACTGCGACCATTTTTTTTTAACGATCAGACGAACGCTCGGGGCAGTTTTGGCGCGTCCAATCCTTTGAGGGATAAAAAGGTACTAGAATGGTGGCTACTTAAAAATATTGTTGTGCTGGTGTTCCCCGCCCACAGCTAATTGAACTTTAGGTAATTGGCTAATTGGCTTTATGGAGCTCTTGAAGCGATTCTGAATCTGATGTATTTGTTGGTGTTGCTGACGCCTGCTTCACTGACATAAAAGCTAAAAAAGCATACTCAGCATCGCAAAAAGTGGGGGGGTCGACACCCCCAGTTTTCAAGAGTGGGGGGGTCACGACCCCCCCGACCCCCCCGTCGGCGACGCCCCTGCGTATAGGTCTGTCCACAACAACATCGAGACAATGTTGAATCAACCAAGAATCAGCATCGAGACAATGCTGTATCAACATCGATAGGGGAGAGCGGGGCCAGTTAAACCACTTTTTATATATTGACATGCACAGCGAGATCTAGTTGTCATATCGAAAAATGCACAATGCCATGAAAAAATATGCTCTTTTGGCTTTATTTTAAGATATGTAAAATTATGTTTCAAACATATTTTGCTGCCAAACGCATGCTTATAAAACAGCTCTACGCCCGCTTCAAATGACCCCGATGCGAGGGTCAATTGAACCAGCCCATGGGGTCAATTG